TATATATATATATATATATAACTAAACGAACTTTATGGTTGTACGGCAGTGAAGCATCAGTGCCAACACTGATGTTGCTGTCATTGATGATGATGATGATGTCCAAACACTGCTCAGATACCCAGTAACATAGCTATCCTGATACCCACTGCTTTCCGCAGGACTTAACTTTCCCCTTAATTTTCCCTATCAGGTTGTTCTTTATCCATGGTTTTATTGCAGTCAGGCTCAGTAGGGACCCGTGTTTTTCGGGCGGTGCGGGGTCTCGATAGAGTGGAAGTAACAGAAGTGAGCTTTTGAAGAGGAAAGGTTTTAGATTTTCGTGTAAAAACCACTGAAATCGTCACCCCCCATCGGCTACTTTACGGCCAGGCAAACTCGATCTGCCGTATACTTGAATCAGGCACAGTAAACTTTATGGGTTGGTAATTATCACTCGCCACCGGAGAATGAACAATGAAATTAGTGCTGAGACAGTCAAATCGTTGTTATGTGGCCATCTGTCACCTATCATGGACCCGAACCACATTGTCCAGCTTACATACACGGCTTCCTGCAGTTTAATTTTTGCGTACTTGCACTTGGTTCAATGCGCGATAGTGAGTATGGCTGGTTCACTGAATACTTTAATAACCAGTATGGTAGTCTCCTCTTTCATGATTGTATTGCTTCCCGCTTTGAACACTTCATAACATGTCCTTAGTAGGTGAATTTAATTCATCACGTATAGGAACGGAATATTAATAAGGCTGCTGAAAACTCTTCGACGGCCCACGACCGGTTTCGCCCTTCTTGGGGCTCATCACTTAGGCGTAGACCCCGAGTTACTGTCAACAATAATCTTTAATTGGACCAAAATTGAGCACAGTAGTGTTCTACGTCCATATTATATATTGCGGCACCTCACATATCGTACCATCCGAAAAACGTTGCGGCTTGGTGCATCCTGTTCAGCTGAAGAACACAATAAACGAGATATTCAGGTGTCCCACGTGAAAACCAAATGCAAAGGAGTGTGTCTGTCGTGATTCTTAGTGGTTCGTTGTGCTTCAGCAGGAAAATGAAAAAAACGTTAATTTATATGGATTGTCAGAATTGACACCAGCCAAACATGAGAGTCGCCCAACGCTTGCAGCGGTTACCCTATGGAAAGAACGACTTGAACAAGGGCGATGAACCAAGAATCGACTTTTTCAAGTGATGCACAATAAGAACAGTACACTTCACAAAAAGTAACCAAATTCGACAGATGTGCCAGCCGGTATCATACCTTAGGATGGTAGATACAGCGACAGCTCTAGCAAGGCGGCGATCGCCCCTAAGAAATCGAGTTGGATGTCACGGCACAGATTGAAACGGGCAGGCGTCGATCATTCTCAGGCAAGTTATGGAGAGGGGGTGAGATGGCCCAAGTGTTTAGAGCGCGAATTTACCGACCGGAAGGCCCGTGGTTCGAATCCGACACCTGGCACTCGACTTCCGCTGTCTAGGCTTGGGCAACCTGGCAATATCCTAGCCCTCGTACTCCCTTTGGGTGGCATGGCAGTTAGATACCGGAAGGGTGTTAGAGCTGAATGAAGTTATGGAGATGGAATACGGTGGTTTTTTGTAGACTTGAGGGGGGAGATTCAATGGTTAGAGCGCGAATTTACTGACCTCTCGATTTCTCCTGTCTAGGCTTGGGCAACCTGGCATTATCCCACCCTCTGGGTGGAATGGTATCTAAGCACCGAAAAGGTGTTACAGCCAAACGATTATCTTTTTATTTTTATTTCTGGTTAGTGTTATGTAGATAATTCGAACAGAAAGGCTAAAAACAATCGAATATCTAAAATTTACCTGCCGGTGTTCAATGTGAAAAGGGAAATAACAAAGGATTCAGAATAGTTGCAACGTAAATAGTGAAATTAGACCGGAATTATAATCAACGCCGCCCCTATAAAGGTAGACTTGGCAAATTGCAAAGATTTATAATATCGCGCAAGGAGAGTACAGTTGGGTAACAATAGCAAATGGACCGAAAATTGCACAGTTTTCTAATGGTGCTGTAAAAAACGTCCCTTATGTATCCATGCAGGCAGCAGTTCTGGTTATCTTGGGCGAAATTTCAAGCGGATTCTCACTGTACTGAGACCCCTGTATTTTGACATACCAAAGGGACACTTGAAAACCATACTCCCGCTCTGCCCATCTACTGGCATCCATTCCATATGGCTATTCATTGTAACACCAGATACCTGTTGTTATTTTCTCAACCTACAGACATGTAGGTTGTAGTACTACCGCATTTGCTTGTTTTTTCGGGGTCTTTATAGAAGAGGAGTGCTGTACCAACTTGATGTGAATAAAGTTCAGGATTTACGTTTCTTATCAATGAGCTGCTCAAGAACAAGCGAAATCGGAGCACACAGCAACAAACCACAATATGCTAACTGGGAACACCAAACGCGAAATCTACTAACGCGGAAGATAAGATCGGGCACAGGAAAAAAAACCTTCGGAGGGCGATGTGTAGGATGAATCCCTGGTGATCGTGATTATCAACCCAATCCATCCCGCCCCGTTATTTGGAACCGAAAATGTATTTTCTCCTCGGTAAAGCCATGTTGTAATTGCTTCAGGCTGACGGTGGTCGTAAGCAATGGGGAGGCATGAAGTTCGATTAACCCACGCTGGAAGTAATTTTCGGTTCTCAGTTCATGAATCTCAAGAAGGTTTGAACATCCGGAATTTGGACCAAATACAATTTGTAATTACAGATGGCTAAGTGACTTGTACGCATGAAGTGTACAACGTCACACCCTGAATAGCACAGATGCACACACTTGTATTGACCATTTCCTCGAGACACATCGCCGGTCGATCCTATGAGTAATTGTTAGTGTTTTATAAGTGGTATGGGGATGGTATAGCATTTCGGTTCTGTAGAACAAGCTTAGTTCACACGTCCTGAACTTCTAATCCCACCTGGTATCTGAGGGCCGGACATCTAATGCCCCCGGATTTCGACTACTATTGTATTTGATTGTTGAAAAAAACTGCCCGACCAAATTAACCTTTTTGCTTTATTCTTTCTTCCAATTAGCAATTTCTGCTCACCCCGTTACAATTCGGTGTTCCCAATTGCCGTTTGCGATATTACTTGGTGGCGAGCTCTTCCTCAGACAGTGCTTCTTCTGGATTGTTCGCACCACACGTACACGACTCGAGCCACGCCAACACCATTCATATCGTTCCCCCAGCGGACCTACCTCCACTTCCCGGTTGCGAGTGCCCTGTTTGTCTCGGTCATGTGAAGTTCGTACCTTACTTATGGTGTTTCTGATTATCCTGTGTTTCCAATGTTCTCCCACAAGTTTTTACAAGGGGAACATGTCGGGCTATCTGTTTACATGTTAGTTTCCTGTATAGCTTTCTTGTGAAAGGAAATAGTGTGTTGATTCACGTTCTGACTCATTTGTCGAAAAGCTGCATCTATCAATGATTCATACGTCGTTTGTAGTAAGACTCATAAAACCATTTTCGTACAGCACGGAATTAATTCTTTAACGTCCCAAGCTCTGTTCACTATTACTACTTTTTATGCAAATACGTCGTCGTGCTAAAGACAGACATAAGGTGATTCATTGGAAACTCCAGCAAGTTATCGTGATAAGATTGAGCTTTAGCGAAAAACGCTCGTTTGCAAACTAATTTGGTTTTTCGAGAGACTTACTTGGACCCCAGCTAAGTCTCTAATTTGTGATGTTTCCAGGTAACTAAATTTGCTGCACCAGGCCGCCTCATGTTTCCGACGCTACGATATTCGACATATCGCGATGCATGTAAATTCGTAATGCAGTACTCATAAGGTTGCTAAATTGTAGCGACCGAAACATGAGGCGGCCTGGTGAAGCACATTCAGTAGCCTGGAAACATCACAAACGAGAGGTTCAGCTGGGTTCCGAGTGTCTCTCTCTAAAAACCAGATTTGTTTGCAAATGAGTGTATACTCGCCAATTTTGTTTAGTTTGGTTTCAAGTAGAACATAAGATTGACGGAAACTCGGGAAATGCGCCCACCTGATGAGCCCCAAGAAGAGCGAAACCGGTCGCGGGCTGTCGAAGAAGATTGAGCTTTTATTTCTCCACATACCGAAAGTTCGAAAGAAAAACAAATCTTGGATTCACGAGCATTGTGGACTGTTATTATGGCCGTCGGACTGTTGTTGCTCAAACTTTTCAGTTTGAACAACACGCACACGAGCCGTTTACACGCGTGCGAATCTTGCAGTCTGTCGATTCTTCATAGTGTATACACCCTATTCGGTCCTGTTTTGAATGTCATTTCTTGCTACTCAAACGTGTTTATTCTTCTGCCGACATCTTCACCCATCTGTGCGTGTGTTTCAGTCATATAACCAAACCGGACGAGAACTTCGACGAGTACCTACCGTACTGCCGACCGATTTCAGACTACCTTACTCAACACCAACAACACTCAGTAATCTTGATTTACTCAGTTACACCACTCTTTATTTCAGAACTTAGACTTTTTGGACGATAGCTGCTTGAGACGATATTTTCACGTCCTGGACATTGTTCGTCCTTGTGATCATAAGTCCCGTTGTTTCACAAAAGGCTACCAAAAACGGATTGAAGGCACGGGCTCTGTCCTACAGACTGCGACAGACCCTCTGGTAAGTATGCCAACTTATACACGCTGTGGTGTTTTCTGAGTAGCTGAAGAAGTTGAAGGCGAGATGCCCAAATGGTTAGAGTGCCATTTTACTGACCGGAAGGTCCGTGGTTCGAACTCAACCTTCGCCTCTCGACTTCCCCTGTCTAGGCTTGGGCAACCTGGCAGTATGCCAGAACTCGTTCTTCCTCCGGGTGGTATAGCAGCTAGGCACCGGTTGTTATAGCTGGATGATCCGTTGAAAAGAACAAAATCTACCGCAGCTATTCTATCACAACTTTTTGGAACTGTTCCGTGTAAACTTAGGCCCGAGCGGCTTGGGGCGATTTTCGCAATATCCACTCGGAAACACATACCCCGTACGACCCTTTAGGCTTCTAAGAGGGCTGCTTTGATTTCACTACAAACCCAGTCACTCGAAAAGCACAGAGTGTAGTCCTGAAAAGACGGCCGACTCTGCATTCATTCATGCATAAGGGTGATAGAGAAAAGAGCTGTCATTGTTTTCACTACTCAAGTACGCCGTCTCGAGAACTAGTGTGTCTGCTGTAGATTTGCGTCGTCACGCGACCAGGGTTGTTGAAACGCTCAGAAATCATAACTTGCACGACATCGGCTGCTCTTGCAATTTTGTTTGACATTCAGCATATGTTTCGAACTGTCATTTGTTCTTTGCCAGACAGGTGAAGAAATCAACGCCCAATGGATAACTGCCCGAAGTGACCCAGAAACTCAGATGTCCCTTGCAAAACGCTTGCAGTTACGCTTTTTCCACTCTCGCGAAGTGGCAAACCTCTTATGTTTTCCCCAGACTTATAGTAAGTCGGACCTATTTCACCATGTAAACTCCAAACACAACTATCATTTTAATCCATACATTAAGCCGGGAACTATGCGGCACTTCATCTCCGTCGTCTAGCTATTTGTTCTGTGTACGTGAGCTTCCTACTCGCCAGAAGAACAGTTGTAGCACAACTACCAAATCTTTTCCGGACAAGTGATAGAAAGCGTGGCGACTGACCTTCCGGTGACCGCTTCTCGAAAACTTTAGTCCATTCGACCTGCACATTGCCCTGGCACCCCCCAGTATAGGATGAAATTAGTCGCTCCCAAGACTGTTCGCACTGCTTGGGTTGTGACACCCCAAGGAGCGTGCTTCGTAAAAGAGAAGAAACTGTTTAATCGAATGAATAAGTACTTTGAGTTTATGACACTCCATGCTGAAAAACTTCTACTTAACTGACTGGTAAATAATAGCCGATGTATGTCTGTCAACATTTTCGGTCGATTCATGAAGTTTTTTCGGGCTTCATGTGTGGATTGCGGAGTGTACAAGCTTGAAAACTTATGTATGCGAAGAAGACCGAGTTTGAATATCAGATTCCGGATAAATTTCGAATGTCTGTCTTCTGTTTCCCTTTATCGTATCGGAGTGTCTCCAGAGACAGCTGGTTCAGACCATTCAGAATCGAAATTTGCAACGTCTAAAGTATTCGGTGCAAATGTGGTTCGTTTGTTCAAAAACGTATTACTCGCTGAGCCAAAAATCTGAGCTTATTTTCTCGCCTCATTCTGGATCTGTCTTGCTTGAAAGCGACAATAGCGCTGAATGTTGCGAGGTTTAGTTTTTTCCATAGGGCACTACTTTTTGAAGTTAGAAATCCAAGTACACATAGTATGAGCGAAAAGACAGACTGGGGGCAAACTTGAGTCATCGACTGGATGGATGCTCTACCGAGCTACCCAGGATGCCTGCTTTCCTTATGGACCTCGGGTGATAGTTTGAATGTCTTTAGGTCGATGCTATATAATTGAACCTCCTGTTTCCAGAACTAAGGAATCCCCTCGTAACACAATTATTCGCTCGTCAGCTAAAAAGTTGTGATTAACTTATTCATCCCCTACAACCTTGTCTGTTGGTCTTTTCGTAACCGCTTGATCATGTCAATAATGGTCAGGGTGAAGCGTATCGCCTGATCCCTACTTCTCTGAGTGACCGGCCGATTCGATTTGCTCAACTCGCTCCGTCCAAACTGAAATCCGTGTCGCTTTGATGGGACCTACGTACAACCCGAATTTCGCTGAGCAATGGCTTCTCTGAGGACGTTTCATCAGGTTTAGTAAGCGAAGCAGGCTTGTTTTTGGGTGACATACCAGTACGACTAGGTACGTTGTGGCTAAAATAGCGAATTTTCCTGACGTTTTGAAGATTATTAGTTGAAACCACCAGGATCTGTCCATATCACGAGCGTAACAGGAGATTAACTTCACTTACCGTACTTTGACGCAATACTTTTATGCTATACTGAATTTCACCATTTTTCAACTCGTATTGGTTCAATTGTTTTCCCACTTATTTCAGCTTTTCCAGAAGACGTCACCGAAAAGCAGCGCATCCGCCTCCTAGGCAATAGTGTTAACGTCCTAGTCGTGGCCCACCTAATTCACTGGGCGTTCGGCGGTTTCTCTGCGCAAAAGACTGACTGACTTCTACCAGCAATTCTTTTGTGAATAAATTGTGAATACACAGCAAATGTATTCTACTGGATGGGAATCAGGGGTGTGATTTTGTTAATGGTTCTTGCATAAAACACAAAACAACACTTTGGCTCAATAATGTAGACAGATTAGAAAATTCCGTGTCAGTTTGAAAATTACATTGCAAAAATGGCGAAATGGCTGTTGCTGTCACCGAGATTACGGCAGTATGCATGCGGTTTCACCTGTTCATTTATGAATGGTTATTTGAGACCTGATCCAGACCAAAGTGACCATGTTTTCTGTTCAGTGCACGAATCATGCCTTGTGGTTCGGTTACGCGCAAGCCCATTGGCCGTTCGGTTCTCCGAATTCGAGTGTTATACCGTTGAATGCCTTGTCTATGATACGGTTTCTCACCGTCCGACTGTTTTCCGTCAGCCTTCCATTTAGTAACCTGGGTGAGATGAGTCGGTTCACTTAGTTTACTACAGTTGCGTTTTGTAGTGTGTGGTTACCGCGATGCTCCTCGTAGTATGAGGTATGTTGCTAAACTCGCTGACTTTGTTGACGTGGACATCACGATGATGAGGTAACAACTTCTTTTAAGGTCCAACCTAGGCCTTCTGCTAATGCTTTCCTCTTGATTAGTTCAGCCTGTTTTGGGTGCATAGATGTTTGATGATCCCCAATTTGGCCCCGGCGCATAAACTTCGTATAAGGAGTCCATAGCCCGAGCTCCTGTAGCCATGAAAAGTTTGTACTTGGGTTTTTGGACATTGATTCGAAGGAACAGTGTTGAACGACTTGAGTAACTTCAGAGTCTGTCAACTTCCGCGCTGGAGGTGTTGGATTTGGATTTTTTGTTTGATGCAAAAATTCTTCGATTTTTCTGACAGTTTTCATCGGGTCGCACTTCAATTCCTCATAGCGGACAATAAGAACTCTGGGCGAAACTTTTGCGGATCTTGTTGCAGCTGCCATTAGGTATCCTTTGACATGCTCCGTCCACGGACTATATGGTAGTTTGTCCTGCAGAAATCGCTCAACAAAACCCTGAAGTCCTTCCTTGTTGCGGTAACCAGCAGGGATGAAACACCGGGCGAAATGGTAATAAGATACAGCCACGTCACGCGGGTCACGTACAATGTAGATCAGACGAGCGGCCTTCCCTAACTGAACCTGGGTGATGAAAGGGGGAGACAAGTTATAAAACGGAAGAGGTGACAAATTTCAGATTATTTGAACCAATACAGTGAACACTGTCTTATAGTCTTGCTTTTGTACTGTCGATTTTTTTAAAGGTCCACTGTAGTCACGAGTAGCAGTTTTGTACTACTGAGCAATACCTGCGCGGTAAGCAGTTTCCCATGAAAAACCATAAGCTAAGTAAACCAGCCAAGACATATGGCTAAGTATGTCCAGCAAGATACTTTGGTGTCGAGAACCCGTCCTTCGGGGTTTTTCCAGCTCTAGTGTGATTTGTGCGCTGTCCCATCGCACATCATGAATGTCTGTGAAAATACTATACCGACCTATGCAGAGTTGCCTACGGCGGATAACCCACATATGAGGCGGTTTAATGTATTTCCCACATAGCTGGCCGTCTAGCCGAGTTGAGCGAGTCACACTCCCACTCGATCCTTTTTGCAACAAATCAAAACAGGAACGTTTAAAAGGAACCTTACTTTGTGTACACACTGTTCTAACACGAGTAGCAACAAATCTGCCCAGTGGCAGATAAAATGGCACAAGCTGCGCTTACGCCTCTTGCGGAGTATATTATTTATGAGGGATTTGAAAAGGTGTCTGAAATGACCAAATTAGTTTGCAACTGGGTGTATTTCGCGAATTCACCTTCGTCCTCTAAGTTACGTCAAACAACTCATTTTATTAAATCGTCTCATACTGTTCGATACACGCCTCTTGGCTTCCATTGTATCTCATCCCGTCTAGACAAGCCAATTTACTTTAATGTTTTCCCACATAAACCAAGATCTATTGCTGGAGATGCAGGTTTTTTTGCCGATTGCTTGGTCAGATAAATGTATGGAACTGAGATGGCGAGATGGCCCAAGTGGTTAGAGCGCGAATTTACTGACCGGAAGGTTCGTGGTTCGAATCCGAACTCCGCCACTCGACTTCCCTGTCTAGGCCTGGGCAATCTGGCAGTATCCCAGCCCTCGTCCTTCCTTCGGGTGGCATGGCAGCTAGGCACCGGAAGGGTGCTACAGTTGAACGCTTTTTTTTACGGAACTAGTACTTTTCGGCCTAAGTATGAAGGGTGTGAAAAAGTTTGGTTACCAAGGGGCCATTGATTCATGAAAAGAGCTGGAGATTAGTGGTTGATTAGGTGGCCGTAGATCCGTTTGCCGAGCTTGACAACTAGCCTGCAGACGTTTTGTCACCGGTTCGCAACTGAGGTGGTGCTTCGCCTTGTGGTTGTATGATTTCCCAAGAGTATCTAGTATCCTTCTATGGGATTGGTCATTTGGAATATACTTCCTCTGTAATCTTACCGGTCATCAAAAGCAGTTGAACACCAGTGTGGTTAACTTTCATTTAAACGGGATAGCGCCGTTCATCCTCCAATCACAGAAACCACGTCACGTGGCCAAGTCTTGACCGGCTCCTTAGGTGACGATTTCTCAGATGAAAGTTCCACTCACTTCATGCAATTATTTATTCTATAATCCATTAATAAATCGTCCAGCTGTAAACCATTTCGGTGCCTAGCTGCCATTTCACCCGAAGGAAGCATGAGGGCTGAGATGCTGCCAGGCTGCTCAAGCCTAGACAGGATCAATCGAGATGCAACAGCTGGGTTCAAAACACGGATCTTCCGGCCAGTAAACCACTGAGCAACCTCGAGTTAGGTGAAATTTGTTCATTTTTGATTAAGCTTTCGTCACTAAGTCCTGTCTACGCTGATAAGCTGAGGAGCACTGTGCAATCTTCGACTCCGTAGGCAGATTAGTTCTTTTAAGTACTTTTGATAAGAGGGAGATGCCCTTAAAGTTTGTAAGCATTCTTTGTGCCTTGTATTCCCACAATTCTGGTTAGGGTGTACAATGAACTATACAGGAGTTTCCTGACAGCCAGTGCAGCTTGCCAGGGTTCTCCCTTCGCCATCATCATTTATAGCATGACATCCGTGTTTGAAACCAATGCTTTGCTGCTATACCCTCCTTTGTTTAACCTTGTCGTTGACGTCATTGTGGAGTGCACACTTCAATGAACCCTGAATGTAGGCGAGGAAATCACGCCTGGAGGAGATTAATGGATTTGAATTATGTGGACGATTATGTCCGCGCAAATTTAAACAGAATAGCGGAGGTGATCCCATTTTTCGGCATGCATTTTGCACCTTCAGAGTACAATTTTCAAGATTCTCCCTCTCCCTTGTGCTTCTTTGGAACTTCCTAAGTGAGAGCTTTAGTTTGTCGATCGGTTTGCGCACCTTGACAGCTGCATAAGCCATGGTTGTACTTTGACAGAATTGGCGCTCTACTCCGACATGTTTAGTTTGTTGTTTTGTTGCTGCCCAAAGGTGTAGGCACCTTATCCTTGGTCGTCTTCCTTAAGGACAGGGCTTATTCATACCGAGTCCCTACCCTTCCTTTTTCTTTCCACTCTTTACTAGGACTTTCTTCCCTCACAGTTGCACGGTAGTTAAGCAACAGTATGTATTACTGCTGTATTGCTCTCAGTGATGGAAAAGAGAATACAAGAATGCTAGTAATAATCGGTTGTCAAAATAGCTTACCAGTAACTAACTGAGAAGCACTTAGTGCATCAAAAATTCAATGAAGTAATATTGAAATCATTGTTTTTCGGAAAGTACTTGGTATAGGTCGAGAGACTCATTTGATAACTGTTTCAAACTTTCTTGTTCAGTCAACTGGTTACTTCAAAACTCGGTTTTGCTGTGCTTTGGTTGAATGAACATCAAGCCAAAAAACACCGCTCAAGGATAAGTATTAGATTAGAAGCAAGATAATTATTTTGCGCTCCTCCTATTTCGGAAATGACAACTTAGAAATCTAGATGGATTAAACGTCAACACTGCCTTTTCTACCTATATGCCGAAGAACTATTGATAATTCAAGAAAAACTAAGTCATTGGAAAAAAAACGCGTATAGTGAATTCATGCACTTGGTCAACCGATGAGCCACAATTATGGAGAGATACCTTGTAGATTGACGATACACAATAATTTACAAATCACTCAGGTGTTGACAGAACACTCACTGAAACTTTCGTTGTATATTTAGCGCAGTCCCCGAGTTCTGATCAAACGTGTCTTATTTGTACCCAAATTGGACGCAGTTTGCGAAATACATTCATTTGCACACCACTGTGGTTTCAACCGTGGACTCAGGTGAACGCAAGCTGAATCTATCGCTTATGGTACTCCTCAACTGAGTATGCTGCACAAGGACCGCCTCATCGATTCGAGATATCTGAGTATATTGTACAGGCAGAACACACTACTTATGCTACTCTTCGACAGTTCAGCTTCGCTCTTCCTGGAGCTCGTCAGGCAGGTGTAGTATCCCAGCTTCCATCAACCTCACGTTTTTGAAAACGGAATCGCACGCAGTTGACGAAATACACTCAGTTTCATGTCATCTATAACTAGGGTTAATCTAACCCCCGATTTCTCACACAATAAACAATTTGCATGGTAATGTTAGGTTTGGCTAAGTATGAGTGCTAGTGCTAATCTATTTCGCTGCAAAATACGGTAACTCCTCGTTATGACGACCTCCATAAAAACTGGTAAAGTCGGTCGCATCAAAAGGATGGTCATAAACGGGATCGACATGTACATACGCACGGCTCCACCGCGAAGGGAATTGCTGCAGGAAGGATCCTCAGCTAGGTGGAACACTGTAAACTAAAATATGGTGTCTCACGGCCATTTTTATCGGTCTATTCACCAAAACAAAATGAGACTATTTGGAAACTGATATACTATCTACTCATCCCTATTCATAAGAAGCAATTAATTATCGTCCGCTGCACACAGAAACGACACGTGGATGAAAAATACTTCCAAAGGAGACATTTCTTTCGTATAGTTCAACTGAAGCATGACCTAGATACGTAAGTTAGGGATGACAATAAGTTAGGTATGAAGTTTACGAAAAATTCGATCGAGCTGTATTAAATACAACGGCATAAATGTGCTATGATAAACTCACCTCTTCAGGTAGAAACGTAAATGGGAGGTGCGTTTTGATTATTCGTGGAACAGCTCGCCGGGCCACAGAGATAGGCCCGGGCCACACATATTCAAGGTAAGGCACACGTTCCTCCAGATTGTGCGCAGCCGCCGCTGACCAATTCAGATTGGTTACGAGTAAATATACCAACTCCGATAACCAAGTAGTACCTGACTTAGGATAGCTGGCAACTATAACATCTTCAGGATGCAGACGATCACGCAATGCAAGGCGTGCCTCTTCGGCGCCTCTGGCTATCTCACCAGGCAGCAAAAAGTACTGTTTCATCTCAGCATTCTCGATATAAGGAGGTTTACAGACAAGTAATCGAAATCCCGAAAACTCCGGATCCTTAATCTCCAGTTCTTTAACGGAATTCATCTTATGGTGGTGTAAACTTCGGGTGAAGCAGAAAACTCCTAGTCCCGTTGCCAAAGGCAATCCGAGTGCTCCTGTAAGTAGTACGACTTCTCTGGATCTGGGGACTCTGGAAAACGAGTAATATCGCCTCGAAAGATGAAGACGCATCAATACTGATCCTCTGAAACCGGAGAAGAAACGCAGTTTCATTGGGTGCCCGAAAATTGTCCAACTATAAAGAGCAAAATGTCTAAAGAGGAAAAGAAAATACCGTAATAATCAAGTAGTTAAGCTCGTTCGCTAACTGGCTGACACTTTGAACAGCTGTGAGGTAGGAGTTAAGACTACCAGTGAAGAAGTCATTCAGATCGACGTTATACAAAATAATATGAAAAAGGATTTGGTAGTAAAAAACAAATTCAGCCACATTGATGGCTGAATTCAGTTATCGGTGCAGCTCGGAATTCCACCACTAAAATGCCTGCTGCACAAACGGACGCACAGTCCCTAATTACTTGGTTACAAATTCTTTGACGTCATGCACCACTAACGACGCTTCTGAAACCTGAAGACGTTTCACATCGTCTGTTCACAAGGGCCACGTCTCAAGAACACACAACAGCACAACTCTTATTATAACGTGGTGCAAGCGACCCTTGATCTGAACGATACGCCACAAGTGACGCAAATTACCAAACATGATTGGGACCTTTGAATTTGCACACTGGATTCATCAGCTACACTCCAATTGGAGCTAATACAACTACCGAAGTAGGTGAAATTCTTCGCAACTTCTTGAACTGCAAGGGGCATGCACAAAGACTGCAAGTTCCGGAACAATACTTTGTGGGTTTTAGGTGCGAGGCGCACACCGAAAGATGGTATAATGCTAGTCAGTTTATTCAAAAGTGTTTGCGCTTTGACTTTGCTGGGAATATCAGTATCTTCAAAAGCCATTACTTTTACGCCATGCTGTGCATTTTTCGGAAGGACCACGCTTCTGTTCTGTTGACCAGTGTTCTCTTTGTGCTTCGCTTTTGGTTGAATAGGAAAAGCTCCCCTCTGAAGGTCCATTTCTTCTCTATGCGCCGGGACTGGTTGCAATCGCGTCAAAGCTGGGGATTTGCGCGCTTGTCTTCAAGTCGCACGAAATCTTTGGTCGTATCCGTTCAGATAAATGACATTTTGGCGACGAGATGTTTCGGTCTAACCGTGATCGATCCCGCCTAAGTAGATGCACTGCTCAAACAACAGTGTAAGCTGGGTTGTGTTACGTGACAGCTGCCGAATCGAATCTCCTTGGTCTTGACTGGTTTGACCGTCTTGATTTAGCAGATATCCCAATGAGTTCCGTCTGCAATGCGGTCGGTTCTCAGCTGCTGTTCCAGATCAATCCGGCGATATCATTCGGCGCTTCGCTAATGCATTCGAGCCTTAACCACCACACAAGTAACGCTTCGACCTCGACCGGAAGCTACCTCAGTTTTTCGCCCCAAGAGACCGGTCCCTGTGTCTCCTTGCCACAGGTCGACACAGAACTCCAGCACCTCGAACGACAAGTTGTCCTCCCTCCATTGTTGTACTCCACATCGGTAGCCCCAATTGTCGTCGGTAGTGTGATGTACGACGTGTTGGCTGGTCAAGACACCTGGACCAGACATCAAATCCAACCCGGCTTGAACAGCACGCCAAAAACTCCAGTATGTTCGAGTAACGTACAGTTAGACATATTGCTCGATGCTTTTGAGCTGAAAACTGAGACAGCGTCGAAAGAGGAGAGTGTGACCGGCAGCTCAGTAGTTGATCCAACACTTCTTCCTAGGGGGTGGAGCCGCCAGCCGCAACGTATCCAGGTCGACCCAAGTCGAGCTCGTTACTGACTCTTCACAACAGGGGTGTTGGGGATATTAATACTCCCATAAACTCTGTAACATGTGTGTGCATTTTCAAGGTCAAACTATGGATATATATAGCCATTTTTCCACAATTGCCTGTTGTTTGGACCAAGCTTTCGTCTTCTTACTATTCCACTGTACTAGGAGCCGGGATCAGGCAACATAGCTGGGGACAGTATATCATCACAGTCCGCGCATATTAGCGTTGCTCGCTGCGTGATCGAAACCTCAACCGTTTTTTGGATTGTAACTGAAAATAGACAAGCAGAATTTGCAGCCGAGTGTGATTGGGGCCTCACAATGCCATTAGCCTTGGAGATGCCATCTACAGAGCAAGTACTAACACTAGGGTGTGTTAAGAGAATGAATATGTGAAAAAGGGGAGGCCTCAACAGTAGCGTGTCTTAGCTAGATAGCTCTGCTTTGTACAGCAAGTCAAGTGAGCAAACTGAAGGAAAAAATCGGTCAGCTGTAGCAGCCTTTCGGCGCCTAACCGCCAAGCCACCAGAAAGAGGCATGAAGTCTGGGATACTGCCAGGTCGCCCAATCCTAGACAGGGGAAGTCGAGAGGCAGAAGTCGGGTTCGAACCACCGACCTTCCGATCAGTGAATCCGCGCTCTAACAACTGAGCCATCTCACCCCGAAATCCAGACGCCGTCGCTAGGAGAAGAACAAGGCATCACGCGACGGCCGATATGGCATGACATTATATTTATTAGAGGTGTTTGTACGCGGGCTTGGGTACTGTCAGTGCGCCCCACATCTAGACAAAAGGACGCTTAGGCAAATAACCAAGATATTCGGCTCAAGTTCCTAAAGGATGAGTAGCAGCTTACTACCAATGTAGTACAACGTTTTGAAGTAACAGTTGGCCGCACGCATTCCAACCCGGACGATCATCGGACTGTTCGTCAGAACTGTATTCACAAACTAATCTGGTATGAAGAACTCGGTGGATGTCACAGAGACTCCAGCATGTCTCGGTGTACCACTGCGGCACACAGACCACCACTGCCGTAAATTCCGGTTCGACCGACAGTAGAAGGCACATCGAACGCTTCCCTGGGAATCACCATTATTGACATCGCAACACAGGTATTCAAAACTGATAGTTCTCCGCCTTAAAACCATAAAATAATAGGAGTGTCAGGTCGTGCGCTAGTCTGGTACACACGCTCCCTGATATTCGGGTATATGATGTTTTGGCACCGTAGGCGTCCCAAATTAGCAAGCCTTGGAGATTTACACAATAACCCAATCTATCACTGTGAAATCTGAATTCGGATTAACTAATTAACGTAACGGCCGAGATGAGTAAAACGCTCCACAAGCTCCAGTGCCTACTCTTGAAGAGTACGCGGCGTTATGAGTGACTAAATGTCCACCACCTTACACCTCGTGGGTGCACCGAGAATGCCTAAGGACAGGACGACTGCCAGGTGTAGTATGAATGCTGTGGAAGCACCAGGGGGCAACGATTCTCCGAAGGCAGATGTTCACGACGATTTTTGTGGATGGAAAATAGGGAGAAAATTCATGGGCTGACGCCCAATAAACAAGGTTGTAGATGATTAATACTTACAAATAAATCAATCAAAATGTCAGACACGTACAATGCACGGGGGCAATCCGCCTTAGGGTTCGCAGTTAGCCGCCGCAACTGCCTAAAGCGCATATGGTTGATCGTGCTCCGGCCCAGGATCACGGCAAGCTCTGATTGGCCGGAAATGTGAACCTGACGGTCAATCACAGTTGAGTTCCGCGGCATGCTGTTCACGAATTGCACTTCCAGAGGGCTTCCAAATATCCGGAATGATGTCGCTAAAAACACAAAATACGATGCATTGTACGTGCGCTTTAGCCCGTTTTTAGGAGTTGATGCGCTTTGCAACCCTTTGTGTTGCTTGTGCAAAAAAACGCTTGCCTAGAGTGATCAGACCGACTACTGAACTGAGGGGCTGGAAATAATGCAGTGATTTTTTTCTGGTGAACCAACAACACCTGCGCCTTGTCATCGCTTAAGGAGACATACGTTGTTTCCTGTCGCGAACTATCGGGGCGTTCTCTCATCTGCAACTGTGTTGGTGAGAATAGACCGGTCAACTTATTCGAATACGCTAAGGTTATCCAGGAATGCTAAAAGTTCAGCTCACTTGCATGAACGCTGTTGTCATAGGAAAAAACAGTGTGAACCTCTTGTTAGCACAAACTTTAGCAAGCCGGAATCTCGGCAACTGCTGGCGAGTCATTGCTCCACAGGCCATCATGAGCTGGTAAACGATCCTGGTACTGGGAATCTGGTCATGACTGGAGTAATGACCAATGCCAGCACTGCATAAAGGCTTCTACTTTGAAAACAAGCGTTTTCATGTATTCCTTTCTGTCATCTTGGACTCTCATCCTTAACCAAATTGAGGTAAATCATTCGGGTAAGATTTGGTGACTCTACCACAATCCTCGAGGAAAGTGGATTGGGCGCCCAACTGTACCTATGAGAACATGTAGACTCGTGACTTCCTTAGGCTGCGAAGCATTCCGGGTTTACTGACCATGGTTCTATTGCAGCTCTTCGATCCAGCCACCTTGTAGCATAGAGATATGCGAACGCGTGTCCAAATTTCTCGGTCAGATGTTCGAAAGATGAACAAGGAGTTGGTCCCTGATGGTCTCACTCATTGAAACTTCCGGGGACCGGTCCCCGGACCACCCGATATTATATTCGGGGTTTCCCAGCACCCGATTCTGATGCCGTAACAGCTGGGGATCGGATGTTGGTGGTAACCTGAAAATTATTCATTGTTGCTTTCTAAATTTCACAAATGCATTTTCTGGATGTTTGTATCTCCTACGTTGCAAGGTCGCCGCGCCCGCTTAGTTTCGATTCGGAGCTGGTGGTTCGTCCGGGCGAATTATTTCCCACCCTCTTTCTCACTGTAGTCCAGTGTGTAATGATGGCATACAAATTGTCACTTCACTGTGGGGTCATCTCTTCACAGTGGATAATAAATTCTGCTGCAATGTTGAATGCGAAATGTTCTAAGTGTAACCCTGGACGACATCGCGCCTGTTTATTAATTCAGGATAACTTTATCCATTTGTTGGGAATGACACAAAATCGTTTAGTACGAAGTGAATGTACCGATAACTTTTCAACGCGGAGAAATCGACCACCCGGAATACTGCAAATAAATCAACGAAATCCAGAGCATAATGATTCCAATTCATGAAGTTTTTCTGTGAAATTGACGTGTGGCAAATGCATGGCAAGCTGGCCCAAGGCTTCGAACGCATCAGGTGCTAATGGCTCAGAAGGCCCCACTCCCTGCTGAACGTATCCTAAGGACTTTTTGGAGCTATCAGTCCGAAATTCGCCGAATACGGAAAATGTCTGGAGAAAATTTGTCTGCTCGTAAACTACTAACTAATCAAAATGCATTGATTATACTTCTAAGAAATCAAACTTGGGTGATTATATTCTTCGGCTTACTCTACGCAAATGATTTGCGGGAGACGATGATGCTTGCGGGACGACGACTTCGTTTTGAAATGTCCATATGCAATGCAGTTCCCTGTGTTTTCTAAGCACAAATGAGTTATTTTTAAGTGAACGATTTTTCATGGCCAACAGACAACTCCAATTGGACGAGTTTTCAACGAAATATTGTACCTTGCTGATCCTTGAGCACACCCCAAATTCCCCTGAATCCATAGTCTAGACCGAGGAAATTTTGCACAATGTCTTGGCATTTAATGGTATTTGCCGGACGCCTGAAAATCTTTCCAGACATTTGCATGTCTAAGCGCACGCCAGGTTTGCTTTCCGCAGTAAGTTCATTTGTAATGGCTGTTATGGCTCAGCGCGATGTCTCGGTGTCCGCGGCGATGGAAGTCAATGCTTGATCTTATTTTCCGGCGATATCGTTGTTCCTAATGACTTTCCCAAGCTGACTGACGTTGTGCTTTTTAATCGAAATAATATCTCCCAAGATGTTGGTAATTCACATGAGGGTACATGAAAAAGCTTCCTTATCTCCTGACAAGTTGCCCACAATGAGAATGAAGGTCGTTCACTGGGATGCCCATTTAATCAGTACTGCCAACCTAACAAGCTGTCCTCGTTCATTATCCTAAACGCAAATCAAACTCGACAAAAACAGTGCTGTGTAGCATTTCTGTGAACGAATTTACGTAATTTGTTACGCTTGAGGAGTGTAACGATTACTTACTTTATCCAATGTCCACCTTGGAAGAATTTACATTAGATAACCTACAGACCACTCATTTGAAAAGCACTGCAAAACGTTAAAATACGCAAATGGCTTATTTCGTGCAATATCTCTCAAATTGTTATGCATGTACGAGGCTACGGTGGTGAGTGACTTCGAAAGTTTGCACACAAGCAAAATGCTATGACCAACATACCACGGGAATGTTTAGCCGAATTAGCCTAACTCACCGTTAAATTCGCAGCTCTGAAAACACCATAGTTTTCGGGAATTTGATTTCGGTTCGCTTCTAACGATCAGCAATATCTCACCTTGCTTCGCTCTATTGTGGGTTAATGTTTGAAATCGCCCGTAGTTATAAAAATGTGTTGAACTTGCGAGAGCCCATTGTACATTTGCTGAGGCGAAGTATGCGTGGTGCACACACTTACACCCTAATTCTTTCTGGGACCAATGCGGAAGGCGGTGTCCTCGTAACTTGACAAATGTTATTCCGAATGATCGTCGCGAAAACTGCACACACCGCCTTCTGATAACACGTTAGAAATCCGTACTACATAATGCTATGGCATTTCACTGATCTCGGATTATTTTACCGGAAGGATCAAAGCATACACATATACCTGAAGATTGTGTTACTCTCTGTCCAACCGCTTGGTGCCACCTTCGAAGCATTCGGTTGATGCATGCTGGCTGCAGATTTATTTTGGCAGATCTTGAAGTCCGAAATGCCTTCGTCAATCGGTCCTGGGGTTGTTTCCAGGTAGAATGACGCCAGAGATACATACATAGGCTGTTAATTTTAGCGCAAACTCATTAACTGAACCTTAAATCTGGAAAACTGAAGCGCCTTATTGGAGTTTCTTGGCAGTCATTGCATGTACAATGCAGCAAAGAGACCCTGGCGGATGTGAAAAATTAGCATGCGGCTCGATCCCCGACTGGCTGGCGAGATGCAGCCTAAGTATGTTGCTGAGAGCATTTGCAAGGGCTGTCGTTTCCGTGATGAATTATAATCACGTAAAAGCCAGTGGCGAACGGGTAATATTTCACACTATTTGGAACGGAATGGCGCATAATAAAAATGGATAAAGGCGAGGAACATATTTAACATGCAAAGCAGGTGACAGCAATCAAATGGAGTATTTGTCATTTTGCAGACAGGTTTGTGTCAATTTGTTAGCTCTAATAGATCACAATGCAGTCTTGACATTCGTGGCTGCAAATTCTTAATCGGTGGCTCATACCTAGGTGAACACTGAACAGGTCTAGTTTAGAACGTGGGCGTCCTCCCTAGGGTGCGATGCATGTATCTCGTATTCGCGCACAAACACCCACTGTGTGACATACTTAAGATAGTCTGAATGATGTGCCCGCTCTTTTCAAGCCCTCATAGTCGAATTTCGGTCAAATTACCAAAGGGAACCATCCGGGATTGAGCGTAGACAGTCAACAGATAGAGGCAGACGGCCAGCGAGCCGTGAGACAGGGGACAAATCGCGGGTTTTTGCGGCACAGCATTTTCTGTAACGTGAAAAACACAAACCGAACAAGTGGCATCATCAAGGTAAGCTATTTAATTAAATATGTTTGCCGTTCACAAAAGTGTCTGCGGCCGAAATACACGTATGTTTTATGATGCACACTTGCCTTCTGAGTGCTTTCGAATATGGATACCAAAGCTTGACACAACTCCAGCCATCCGCATCGTTCATGACAAAGGTCTTTAGTTAATGCCGTTTGCATGGCGCCTCCATTAGAAAATAAACGGCTTTCGCCAAATAGAGAACTGCTCGTTTCCGCAAAGACACATTGCCGGGCGCCCGGAACCAACGTTATTTGTAATGTAAAAGGGTCAGTGCTTGTATTTTCGTGCCAACCATTAATTTTATTGAAAATATTTACTCAAATCTATTCGTCGCGCATGTTTCATCAACACTTATGACATATGTAGACGTCGGAGCATCGTGGTCCACTGCCATTTGGTTAAGCATATATAGCTATAGTGACAACACCCAAAACTCAACACCAGCACCAGCCCGGACTCACGAAGCTTCCTCGAAGCAAAAAGCGCATCTTCTCTTATAATTAGTTCCAACATATCCGCCACTCACCCGACAGAACAGATTAACCCTTCCATCAATGGCTGTAAGCATCTGAGGGTCAAGGAATTTGCCGGAACCTTTGACTCCAAATGCCACAGTTCTGAAGAAGGCATTCCATATTTCCAGCTGAGGCCTAAAGTCTACCAGCTCCTCTCCCGTTAACCGTCGTTTAACAGGCACCCATTAGCACAAAAACCTGGTACTGTGATGGTTATAACCAAAATGAAAAGGGTGACTGATGGTTATCTCCCCACGTCATCCGTCAAAACCAGACTTGAACGCACTGTTTTTCATTAGGAAATGCACTCAATCCACTAGCTTCGTCTGAGTATCTGACTTTTGCTTTGTCTTGGGAGTCACTGATGGCATCTGTGGTACGTGTACCAGTAGCTCAAAATAGCGGTAATGGTTTTCGTCTTACGTACGCACCATAAACACACGATTATCCCTCATGTGATCACTTAGTACCTTCTCAAAGGCTCTTAAGTATGAAAATTTCACAGTCGCCTATTTCTCAACATACGTATGTCAAATCCATCCAAACACTATTTGGGTCATTTCAGTGCAGCTTTAAAATTGAGCTTCCACCAAAAATTTAGTTATTCGAATTTAGTTCCTACTGCAATAAGGCGGATAATGGTCGTTTCTAGTTTCAGCAAAGATTCAGAGGAGTGTAGCTCGAAAAAGTTGTTCGGAGACCACCGCATTTGCCGGATGATAATCGGCGCCGATGTGTGCGTTGAATACCATGCATAACATGTTGGTTGATTTATATAAATTGTTGTCAACAGTTACATTCGGAGAGTCACTGTTCCCTGACGTTTCCCTATCGTGCATATAGTATGCATGAAATAATTAAAGCACCGAACGAAAAGGAAGATTCTGAGCCTTGGGGCCTGGGAAATATCCTCGAACGTTCCCAAGAGCATGTGAATATTGATCCATCCAACGCACTGTGAGGGTACGGTAGGAATTCTCAAGCTCAGGGTTCACACTTCAAATATACGAGATTTCTTCTCATTTGTGCAAGTTGCTGTGTGTTACAGTCTTCCTCCGACGGTTGTCCACGCCATATCTGGTACCCAGTTCAAGGTACCATTGGGCGTTATTGTTATGCAAATCCTGGCGCTGTCAAGCTTACTGTCCCGCGCTGAGAACATAGGGAGCAGTGCTACACCCTTTTTTCGTTTATGCCCTTCAATTGAACAGAAGCTGCTGGAAGACAAGAACAAAACCTTTCCAGGAAACCTGGGCGAAAGCTTCGATCGTGTATATCAATCCACGAAACCGTGATCTCATTATTGAAGGCACTTTGAAGGTCATATTACTGGTTATAATTTCAAAACGCCTATCGCGTTTGCGTCGTGCGTTGCCTGTTTCCTGAGGCTTCAGACAGACATCAGTGCTTCTGCGCTTGATTGCTACATATATGGATAACAATGTTCCCGCTGCAAAACGAGTGCTATTTTGAATCAGAATTCTATGTGGAAAGTGACTGAACTCCCATTTTTACGGCATACCTACATTGGAGTCTGGAACCAAAGAGACGGCTGTCTGTCGATTTCTGTCCGCTGTACGGGCGTTGCTACCACACATGGTCCTACACACCAAGTTTGTAGGTTTAGTGTTTTATACGGTTGCATTTGCAAATTTACCTTGGCATCATCATCCAGAAGGATCTCGGAGTCAGCGCATGGTCTCCTACACCCTGCTACAGCCAAAACATAGCACTCTTGAGCTAGTGGATAGAGAGCTTCCATGCAATCGTGCTCATCGAATATGCCGCCCAAGAGGGCGAATCCCGGAAGAAGGGTGCCTTTAGACTTCTACATAGAGTATCGCTAGATATCCACCAAGCGTGGGAAGGAGACTATATTTAACCCTAAGGTGAACGAATAACGATGTTCGTCATCATCACGAGACAGCAAAATGTGATGCCCAACCTCTTTCCGTTGGCATCTCGCTGACGACCGCGTTCTTACTTTTCTCAGGTTCTCCAAACCACCTGCTACTCCTGCAAAAATGTCTTGAATCTTGCAAATTTACCAGGCCTTCGTGATACCGTCTTGCGGGTTATCCACTAAGATAGTTGGCCATAATGCGGACTCTACTCCATCTGCGTATGGTAATCATGGGAGTCCCTACCCTCCGGCATATTCCTATGGCCGCCACTCGGAATATTCAGACAGAATGTGACCTCCACCCTCAGACTGTCTACCGCCATATCGTCTAACGCTTATATGCCACTCGATCCAAAATCTTTACACCTTGCGAGAAACTCAGACGAGAGGCTCCTGCAATTACCCACTGAACACAATGGTATATTGCTTCCAAGTAGTTAGCTCTGCGGAAGAAAATGATGTTGATTTATCGGCCACGGGATTTTTCAGTGCTCCTCTGAGACTTGTGGTCTGTGTCACTCACGTCCTTTTGAACTACTTGGTTTGCTTAGGTGTCAACGTCCATTGCTCGAGTTGTTTTGGCCCACTGAAATGGCTGACTGAGTTGCCGCATTTGCTAGCGGTCTCATTAATTACTCACGGTTCCATTTTCTGTTCGCTGTCTCCTGTCCAAATCAGGCTTCACTTCTTCACATACCTTGACATGGAACTACAAGCAGAGTGCCTGTCTTTTACTTGTGCTTAAGTCAATGGTGTCTCTTGACGCCGATCTCCGCTGAGTTTTGCTTGATTGGCTTAAGTGAGCACATAATTTGCCTTCCTACCACGGCGGTTCGAAGGTCGATTTTTCGGGTTACGACTTGTGAGGGCAACATCTTTCGGAATGCTATCCTGAGAGTTCACCACACAAGGTGTGTTACGTAAAATGAACAGACTATGAAATATGGAACCACGCGTGTTAGCTTGCATCTGCAACTGTCCGTAATTTTCCGAAGACATTTACCTACCTTTTTTGACCGTTTTTTGTGACTTATAGAAGGGTGTGAAAGAAATTAGCTGAGAGTTCGGCTGTTGTGACAGTCCGCTCTCCATGGTGTGGTTTCCGGGATGTTTTCTACGCTTGGCTGAAGCCGTTAAACGAAATGGCAATGCCTGTCAATGGCTTTAGTGCTGTCAGTTTGTCAAAATTGTCTGGTTGAGCGTTTGGATAGGTGAACGTCTCAGAATTCATGCGGTGGACTAAAACCATTTTCGTTTGGAAAGTACTACGGAAGGATAATTATCCAGGGTATTTTCGAATCTTGTTGTGCCTGGGTACTCCGGTAATCCGTTCGTAGGCTCATAGGTTACCCGGAGGGAGAGTGAATGGTGACTTTGCCGTAATCATAGGTTTTCAGTTTGGAAGGGCACCATATTGTGTGAACCGGTTTTTGTCGAAGAAAAACAGCGCCGGCTGAGGGTGCGACCCATGACAGACAGCATTGAAAATGAAAGCAAATCCGTGTACATCGAGCATAGTTAACTGCCCAACTGTTCGGATTTGGGTCTATGGACAGAGACCGCGGAGGTCTACTTACGGTTTGTTCGAATGTTGGACTTGCTATTACTACTAAGTTGTTCACTCTTGGGAAATGTAAATGCAACCGTTGGAAGGACAATTAATTGATGTCATTATGGCAAAAATTAAGACTATTGGGTCCAAAACATAAAATATTCAAACTAGTTCCACAGAAAGGATGCGTTTACATCGTGATGAACGAGGAGAATACGGTCTTAATCGCGTTGCTCCAACATTCGGTAAGGGATTCTTTTGCTGAGGACCAAACTCCTTTTTGGTGATTGCTTAATTGTAAGGCGGGAAGGTTGTCGGGTTACCCATCCGAATCTTCAAGTTGGGAAAACCGGCATAAGTTTGACCCGGTATTATTAAGATACAATAAAGGTATTGTCCACAGTACGATTGATTCTATGCTTGTGGTCCTCCAACATCAATGAAAATACTGAGGACGTAGCTGATGTCACTGACTTCCCGAAGGCTTTTGCATTAGTTAACCGGGAGGTGCTGTTGGCCCCTAATCACAACTTTGACTGTTGCGAAGAAATTCTCAAATTCATCGACTTCTTTCTCTTCGATATGAAACCGCGAGCATGTGCCTGGCGAGTTTGAAATTCACACAAGAGCGAGGCAACTTTGCGTTCCGATTTCGACTTTGTTCAGGCTCCATCGAACTAGTACTTGGGATATAAGGCGTTTCGTGATTCCGCGGATGTCTCAGGATTCAGCACCATCCATGTGATCATGTTCATCTCAAAACGTCTCATGGCCAGAACAGAGCTGCGTGATTCAAAGATTTTTGTGGTTATTTTCGTGAATAACAGCTTTTGCACGTTCGAAAATGGAACTGCGGTAAATGCCTAGTAACATTTCGTTTTGCTTTGACATTTGTTCAACCTGACCGGGATTTACAACAACAGACAAACTGCATTCAAATTAAGCGGCATCTCCATTTCCACGGACTTGACATTCGATACTGAGATACATGCTCGAAACGTCAGTGAATCGTCAGTGTCAATACTGATGTTGCTCTCTATGATGATGACGAAGATGTTAACGACAATGGAGATGTCAAAGCAAACGCTGCTTTCTATCGCGCATGTAAGCATGTTTGGATCAAGCGCAATCTGATCGCCCGAAACTGATTTTGAAGTGCATCAGGTTGTTTTGCTATCTTCACTACTGGTTTCCAGTTATAACAATGGCTCATCAAAATGCTTGGCAACTTCCATTTACGGCGGTTGCGCATGATCATTCGGCTCCAGCAGTCAGACCGAATGACACACTGAAGTCCTCGTATTCATTGATGCGAGCGCTAATTTACTAACCAGAAGGTCCGTGGTTCGAACCCGACTTCTGCCTCTCGACTTCCCTTGTCTAGGCTTGGGTAACCTGGCAGTATCCCAGCCCTCGTGCCTCCTTCGTGTAGCATAAAAGCTAGGCACCGGAGGGGTGCTACAGCTGAACGATCCATTGATGCACGACCAGCTGCGTTGGATAGACCGCGTTTAACGAATCACTCATGACTGCATCCCGAGAAACTTATGCAGTCATTTGAGAAGTGAAACCTGGACTTAGAGACGGTCGGTTGCTATCTGCATAAGCTTGTTGACCTTTAAATTACGTCGCAACTTGATTTCCCGACAAGCGGTCTTATTACGTCACATGAACCTATGAATCGCGTAGGCCTACATGCTTGAATAGAATCCGGCTCACCGGATGGTCATCATCAATGACAGAAACATCAGTGTTGGCACTGAGGCTTCACTCACATTATGGGACTAAACCTTGAGATTGGGAAGTTTTGATCCGTTGACGTCATGTGGCCCTTTCAGGTGACAGCTAGCGGCAACCAATACGTTGTAATAACGGCAGGACATCTGTCGTGGTGCGTCGAGGCGGCAGGCATGCCAAATTAAGAGGCAAGGGCAACTGGCAGAGTTGTCATGCATCACATCGTGACGAATCATAGATTACCAAAATAGATCCCACTGGATCAGGGGGCCGTGCATTTGGATTGGATAATTCAGGAGTCGCCTGCAGCAGAACGGTATTTTCTGCAAGAGCAGTTACTGACCTCGAAATTTCAAAGGTGGATGGATGTACACGGGACCCCTCACCTCCATGACCACTCCACACTGTAGTTCACATATTCGACGGTGTCTCTGTTGTGTTCCACAGAATGTACGCCGTCTGGTTTACATAATCACACCTACGTCTAATCCAGGGTGATTGCTTGCTTCATCTGGCCTGTCGGAAAAAGATATAATCTCTTGCTGCTTAGATGCACTCGCCTTCGGGACCATGATGGATGGTTGGCTGCTACTAATTCATCAGATAATTTAACTCTGAACGCACGGGAGTTCATGTGCACATGTAACACATAGCTTCTATCTTCTATGTTGCAATGGATGTTCTGTGCACTGAGATATGTCACTCATTTTGTCTTTCTTCTGTCTTCACTCCACAGGTAGCTCCGTCACATTTCATTCGCTCAGGGCTTCGAATATGCCAAACATCTTTTGCAGCAGTGAAATCATTCCAGTTTCTCCATCTGTCTGGTGTGGGCCATCTACGATATCAAACATCAGTTCTCTATGACAAATCAACAATCTACTTTTACGTGACAGTATACTGATTTGCTGGTCTCTTAGGGATGTTGAAATGCGTTTTTTCCAAATTGTCATACTGCTAGTTTTAAGTGGTATGTGCCTATTCATAGTAATCTAATCGAAGCTATTGTAGAATTTTCTATCGGAATTCCATTGATTTACTCTAGCTATATTGTCGACCCCAAGGTAGTCTTTCAAGATGAGGTAACCTAGTCCGTTTTTATAAGAATTTGACCATTTCGGTTGGTTAGTTACATTCATTCCCAAAAAGGATTTTCCTGTCACTCTCGTTCGTCAACCACAACGTAACACAGAACTTGACGCTAGTTCTACTTCGTGATACAACATATCTATCATCGGCCGTGGTCCACTCTTTGGAAGGAGAACTAGACCATAATCCTAGCCACCCGGTCTGTTTGTATCGCACCGTACCGGAATCTTACAACCTGTCTGATAACAGTTCTGGACAAGTTAGTACGCAACCCATATACGGACTGTTCTCGCGGAAGGAGAACTAGACTATAAGCCTGTGAGTTTATCTCTTTCCTCTGTTCAGCCCATTCCTACTCACTAATTTTGATAGGTTTTATATAACGACCTACCATAACTGGGGAAAATCCCTGGGAGTTTAGCTTTCGGAAAATATAAAGAAGTCACTCACTCAACGACGAATCTGGCCTTACCTCAGTCGATTCAACGACCCTGGAGTTGTGCGCACACGATTGGTGGAAGTCTACCTCTTGTTTATAGACTGTAATACTGTCCCACTTGAGCTTTGATTTAAGACACCCTAGGGATGATCTGCATGGTCCAAGTTTAATTGACAGATATGCTTCTCCACTGTTTGTAGCGTTGCATGTATTCCATCTCTTACTTTAGACGCTACACTACCTTCTAGTCATGATGCGACAGTTTACTTCCAGAAGGAAATACACCAGGCGGACGAAAAACTGTCGTGCGTAGGATTTCCTATTATTCGATCCTCCTGGAAATGAAAACCACAAAAGTATTTCTTTTGATTATATCTCCCCAACGGAGCCCTCTCTGGAAAGCAATCATTGTGCCACCCAGTGTAGTGGCTGTTGGCTTTTGCAATAATGGTTGACTGAATTACAAACGCGTATTGCTACCGAATTAGTAGAGATTTCTCTACTTATCCACCTTTCGGTAGCGCCTCCTTTTTAATAAAACTGCATGGCACTGTAGTCATCTCCTCCTCATCAACTCCTTTCGTCGGAGTTTGATTATCTTTTTTAGGTGTGGTAGGGATTTTTGCATTAGGTTACTACTCACAGACATATTTTGTCGATTACAGACGTTTCAGGCAGAGGCCGGTCAACCACATTCACATACCTAGCAGGTTGAGCGTTGACTGATTTCAAAACTATGTGCCACATTATATTGAGTGGTATCGACCCGTCCGGACCATATCCAGGAGAGGAGCAAGATCCACCTCTTCCTGGAACGCGTCAGTTTAAATTTCGTTGATTTTAACTTGGATATGGAACATCATTTTGGGGCCTCTGTTTGGTGCCATCCGGACCGTGAAACTAGTCCAACACACACCTTTTAGGCGGTTCGGTATGTGGCTCCCCTTCAGGCAGTGCTTTCCAAGAAGACACTTAAAATGACGTTTTTCGGCCTTTTTTTTCGACGAACCGTTAATATGTGATTTTCCTATTCATTGTGGAATCGGGATTTATTCAGCACCAAAGAGAGTAGGATATGTTTGCATCACTAGTGGTCCTCAAAAATGTGGTCAACCTCTCTACGACACCTTAGTAACACTCATTATATCATGCCTAACCCAGCTGTTGCTTCCCCATGGCCGAATGCCATACAAATTCAGACTTTTGTGTTGCGTTTTACCAGAAAAATCTAGAATGTAGTAACATACTTAGGTGCACTTGGGTTCAAAGCGCCTCCCACTTAGCCGCTACCAAGTCAGTGAGACACGTAACTGGATCAAGCAATGAACGAACTTATGCCGTATCCGAAACACTTAACACTAGTAAGCTATGAATATTTGATCTTCACCGCAATCCATTTGATGGACACAATTCCCAAATCAGTTTCCTGTCTATGTAATCTGTTACAGTCTACTCCAATTCCACCTGTTTCTACTGCATTCGAAACTCCAAGTCTAGTTTATGCTTCTGCTGTCCCATTTTCACCATGATGTTCGAAGATGAACTATATAAAACTATGTGTTTCGTTTTTAGCGATTGTCTAGGTCTACCTAACAGTATTTCAAGTGATGGCAGAAGAATGACTTGCATGAAGGGATGATTGAGATACTGACGGGCTTGTCATGACACTAGAAGAGGGTTTAACAGTGTTGCGCCTCTACGTCGCCAGTTCTCTTCAGAGTGCTACGGCGATCATAACATTGTAGTGATAATCACCCAGTTGCATGGATTTTCTCCTGATTGAACCTCTGCTATCGATTGTTAGTCCCCAAAAGTCTCGTTGGTCTTGTTCCGGGCACTAGTTACGGCCTACGGAATTCAGTCCATAGCGATATGGACAGCCTTCGGAAGCACTTAGAGTGGGAATGAAACTTCGACAAGGTGGTGCTTCAGATGTGATCTGCACGGACTTCCCACTAACCCTTATGGATAGGTATGTTTGTACAATTATTCACTGGTCATTATGCTTGCATTTCTGAAGTACCTGTTTTTTTGTTCAAAGGACTCATCCGCCTTTACTAGGTCGGCGCATTCAAGTACTGTTATGTGCTTGGATTGTATCGCATTGATAATAGCTTCTAGCATACTTCACAATATACCACTCACTCCGATTTGAATGCTTTTCGCGGTGCTCAGTCATTTTACCGTTTAACTGTTCTATCTTTTTACTCCACTTTTTTAAGAGCCACCCGGTCTGTTTGTATCGCACCGTACCGGAATCTTACAACCTGTCTGTTAACAGTTCTGGACGAGTTAGTACGCAACCCATATACGGACTGTTCTCGCTATGTGATCACGGCGTGAGGTGAGCGTTGACTGTCTTCTATAACCGTTCAGATGACCTTTGGAGAGTGTCGGTTTGTTAAGATCACCTAAGTACTTTGTACCCTCAGATTACGTTCCAAGAGGATGTGAGACTTAACCAGCCCGAACATATTGACGGAAATCTGGCCTACCCAGTAATCATAGTTCACAGAGTGACATCTTTTCGCTACAGTTGCGGGACTTTGCGATCGATTTGCGGCTGTCTTCGTTTGTCACGGTATACGTAACTATGATTCATCCCCTACGTGTTTGTATGGGCTGGCATGCGTGGCGTGATTTGTGTTTTCTGTATGATATTGGGTGGAACGTTGCTTTTGTGATTGTCCCAGCGATTTTTGTTTTTCTGACGCGTCCAATTTAACTAGAAACCATATTTATTCGCGCTGAAACACCTGATAATGCATAACCTACACTAGCCCTACTTTTGGACAACAGACGTGACGTGTTTCTATTCAGTCGCTGCGACAATTTTTCTAATGGAAACGCCCAAATGATAGCCATGCATTCTGTATTTGTCATTCCGTTATACTGTCCAATTTATTCACTGACTCATCAGGGGATTTTCACTGGTAGATTCTAATTGCCCTTTGTGAGCTAACTTGACATAAAAACTCCAGATCGATCTTTTGAAGCGACCTTCACTTGCAGCACACTGAACAGCTATACAGTATGCTTCCTGTTCATCTTGCGATAGCCAAGGCTTTGATATATGGTACGTCTTCATTCCAAAAAAGATAAATGTATGTAAAGTAAAGCTGGCGATGGGTGTTTAATAACGTTCGATACTGGGTCATCCGGAGACTGATTCACAACCTTAGCCATCGGGCTACCCGGTCCCCAATTTCACTGAACCGAACTCAGCTACGCTGCAAACTGTGCATTGAGTTTAAGAGCCGACTCAGCCCAAGATTTTCCTGGTAGTTACTGAAGAGTAGGCTAGCCATGTGATGTGGTTTTCGTGAGAAATACGTAATTTTGAAGATGGGAGGTGGGACAGTTACGAATTAAAGGCGGCGATCGTTGTTGTAAAGGCAGGTCATTTACTGCGGGATTGGGACATATCTGTCCTTGTCAGCAAAATTTCGCTTCCCCATCGAGCTGCGCAGCAGGTATCAGCTCGACGGAGTTCAGCGGCCAGGGCTTTCATTTTCGTGGTAAGGCGACAGAATGTTCCCTACTTGATCGTTTCCACTTGGGGTCATGCCGATACACCAAGTGCATGGCCTGACCAGGATATCCAACGCTGTGTGAGTAGCTCGCTTATATCGAGAGAGGGTTTCTCCTCTAAACGATCGTCATTACTGATCCGAGGTTCCCATCAGACCTGGGAAATGCTTCGGAGACAGCGACGGTCAAGTACTAAGTGTTCTGCGCATGTAGGCTATTTATCCTTAAAGAAAATTGTCCCCTGATGCAATGTGTATTCTGTCCTTGACACACATACTGTTATCACGCCGGCTGTCTGGGTGTCGGAGATTCGCAAGAATCACCTTCCCTATTTACGAAATGAGTTATTCTTTCGCCAGCTCTCTGCCCAGACAAATGTAGCCACTCATCAAATCGGTTGGTTGCTCTGCAAATTCGTGACTTTGATTCGATCCCACCTAGTTTCTTGGGGACATTTCACGTTTTATTATTTTTATGCATTCCAAACAGTGCGGTGGAATTACTTAAGACACTTGGGATGATTTGATCCCTGCAGATCCGATCCACGTACTCAGTATCTATCAGCTAGTTCCCCGGGGGTTGTATGACATCTGGGGTATCAGAGGCAAGCAGGACATTTTCAATTGCAAATTTGAAAGGGGATGTCGAAAGGTGGTATCTTTGTCTTACACCACATATGGTGAGCTCATTTGAAAGCTTTCCGAATACCCGTACGCGGCCGCAGTAGTTTGTGCCTTTATAAGCTAGGTGAAGCGGACATTTTCATATTTTTTGACAATCGAAAGCAGCATTCAGAACAAGCGAAACGACCATTGTTTCCGGTTTAGAGGATTAGCACTGTCTTAGCCCCTGTTGTCAGGTGAACATACAACCAATTCATCTTTGACCATGACGAAACTGCATGGTTGTCAGGTATTCACCTCTTCCGGTAGTTGAACAACTGGCTAATGACAACGCCGCGGAGCTTCTTAGGCGCTACGAATAATGGACTGATGCCGCGGTGGTTTTCACGTCTTTCGCTTTGCTTTTGAGGCACAAATCCTACCAGCATTTTTTAGCCCCAGGGTTTGTAACCAGGGCCTCTCAGCCACTGAAGAGTGCAAGTTACATATCATCCGGGCCAGGTGTCTTTTGCGTTGAAGGAAATATCTCTCTCGTTTACTTCTTGTTGCTTGTGGTGGCTCTGTGTCGATGTCCCCCTCTGGTTCAGCGAGGTCTTCTGAATTCTTTGTTGAGGTGGGTCACCTAGACACTTCCTTGTAGTGCTCGACCTACCTTTGGAGATTACGATTCTATGAATCGGTTGCTAGCTTTCGGGGTTGTGGAAAGTGTTTATGGATTTGCGGAAGCCGTAAACAGAAGTTGATTATGATCCCGGCTGTGTCTGAGCCAGGTCACGTGGTGACTGACACGCCTAACGAAGATGTTGCTTTCCGCTGACTTTCATTCAACTGGAGTCGAGCAAGTTTGCCTACCTTACATAGTTTTTTCCTTTATTAAAAAACCGTTCAGCTGTAACACCCTTTTGGTGCCTAACTGCAATGCCACCGACAGGAAACACGAGGGCTGGGATACTGCCAGATTGCCCAAGCCTAAACAGGGGAAGTCGAGAGACAGATGTCGGGTTCGAACCACCGACATTCCGGTCAGTAAATTTGCGCTGTAACCACTGAGCCATTTCGGTCCTTCTCTTATTACGCTTACGTTACCATTTTTCTGGAGACTTGTAGCATTTAGGTAACTTACCGCCATCATGGCTTGTCAGTGATATCTGACGATCGTCTTCTATTCCTTGCTCATCTACGGATTGCGTGGCACTGTTTAGAGTGTATTTCTATGCCACTATGTTGACTGTGCATAGACTGATTGCATAGCCTTCGCATTCTCTCTCCAAACCATGTGACATTCGCCTGTACTACCACGTACAACTAAGTGCGTCATACCGGACGTTACTTTCAGCCGGCGAAAAAAGTATTTAGTTCTTTGCTGTCATCGACATAAGTAATTGGTTGTTACTATTAGCACGGATTTTCATATCCTCGAACCTTTTTTCACTCCACTGCAATCAATCTTTCCTTGAAAAACAACTGATTTGGAACAGTATCCCAGTTCGCTTTTTGTCATATGATTTTTCATATACCCAACGGATGCATTTGCCTTCAGGATAAAAGCTTCCTCTGCGACGTATGGTCTTTGCTAGATAGTGGAACCAACGTTTTTTTCGACCTGAACTGGGGTTTTATTAAGTGTATGTTTCAGGAGGAAGCTCACTCCCCCCAACTTCCTCAAAAAAGTATTGATATTTTGTACTCAGCTTATCGTATGTTGTGTAATGTCAGACGAAAAAAATAACTCTTTTGAGAGCGGCAGGCGTTTTTGTGAAGTGCACTCATTCACAGACTTACCCGGTTTCAACGGGATACCCAACTGAATCTCTCGATTGTGCTATTCTTCAACTGGATGTGCAGCACAAAGGCCGTTTCAACTGATATGTTATTCGAGATATCGCAGTATGTCTTATTGACGGAGTTGAGCTTTTTCGTTAGGATCAGTTTGCTTGCGAATGAGCGTATTTCGCAAATTGTGTACAATTTTGGTTCAAGTAAAACATGGTTGACTGGAACTTTGGGACTATGCTCACCTGGTGAGCCCCACGAAGAGCGAAACTGGTCGGGGGGGGGGGGGGGGGCTGTTCAAGGGTGTTAAGAAACTTTGTGCGTAGTGTTCCCTC